TTTAAATGGCAAAGTTGTTTTGTACATAATTACCAACAACTTTAACAACTTTTGTATAAACATTTTTTTTGGTATTACTTACCGTTTCCAAGTTATAAATTGCGCAGGTATGAAAAATTCAATAGAGCGGTTTTGGGCAGTTCAAGTACACATTTGCAGTGCACATTTCAATGTACGTATTTACTATTTTTTTTTCTATCATGAAAAAAAATATAAAATAGTAAAACGTACATTGAAATGTGCACTGCAAATGTGTACTTGAACTGCCCAAAACCGCTCTATTGGATTTTTCATACCTGCGCAATTTATAACTTGAAAACGGTAAGTAATACAAAAAAAATGTTTATACAAAAGTTGTTGGTAATTATGTACGAAACAACTTTGCCATTTAAAGTTTTCCATTAAAATGATATTTTCAGGGTGAAAAAGTGAAAAAACACTTTTTTGAGACTTTAGCGCCACCTACAATGCGTATTTTTTGTTGTACGAGATTGCAACAATGACATAAATTGTAGTACTCAACGCCGTCTACAATTATGGTAAAAAAAAGTTTCTAAAATGCGTTTTAAAAAATTTTTGACGGTTTTTTTGAGTTTTTCAAAAAACGCCTACGAGTTGAACATGCCCATCGCCGAGGTGGCTTACTGACGTCATTTGGCAACAGAAGAAACAAGACTTACCCTTTAGGTTTTTTTTTCACTGAAACGATATTTTTTTCGACGGATTGACTGTGAAGTCAATATGTGATTTCAAAAATGCCACGATGATTATCAGATGTTTTACGAGCCAGAATTGTAACTTTGAGGGAAGAAGGCGATTCTACAAGAGAAATAGCACGCAGAGTTGCCATATCCCAATCCTGTGTAGTAACCACGTTGCAGAGGTACCACGGCATGGGTAATTTAGCTGATCGACCCCGCAGCGGTCACCCAACTGTTTTGACAGCTGCTCAGAAGCGCAACATCAGGTTGCTGGTAGCCCGCGACCCAACAATAAACACCACTAAATTAAAAGCAGAAATACTGGCCGCCTCCGGACTTGAAGTTAGCACTCAGCCATTCGGAATTGCTTACACAAGGCTGGATTACGATCACAGAGGTCTTGGCGAGCTCCTTTGAATTCACGGGAACGTCAGAGACGGAGATTACAGTGGGCTAGGCTCCGGCAAAACGAAGAAGACAAAGATATAAATATAAAATAAATAAAAAATATTTGGCAAAACTGCCTCTTCGTTGACGAATCGCGAATCAGTACTCATCCATATAACAGACGAGTCCGTGTTTGAAGAAGATCTGGAGTCTCTGAAAGGCAAAGAACGGCCACTGGAACGGTTCAGCAAGGCGGGAAATCAGCGTCCTTTTGGGGTTGTATTATTATTATTGGGGCTAGCGCCTTTTATCCCTTATCAAGGCTTCATGGCGGCAGACAGATACAAAACAGTCGCTATTGATGGAATCGTCAGACCTTTCCGAGTAAACCATGGGACCAATTTGTACTGGTTGACGATAATGCGCCCACATATTGACCTCAACGAGTCAATGCTGCTCTCCGGGAATACGAAATCACAAGGTTTGACTGGCCTGCCGGCTCTCCTGACTTAAACCCAATAGAGCACGCGTGGGATGCTTTTAAGCGAGCTGTTTGGAACCGGCAGCCACCACCCCAGACATTGCCGCAGCTCAGAGAAGCTGCTTTTCAAGAATGGAACAGGTTACCACAAGAAATGCTGGATAACTTGATCCTCAGCATGCCCAGGAGGATCTCCGCATGTGTTCGAGCTAGAGGAGTTATTTTGTATTAGATAAACAACAATTTATTAATAAAAGGTTTTTAAGTTTGGTTAAACTATCTTTTTATTTCTATCAAAGTTCTATTACAATCGCCTTAGGATTAAATTTTATTATTATTTTTATACTAAAAAACAATATTAGTTTTATTTTTAATTTCAGAAAGTGTATTTTTAAATAAAAAAAGATACAGCGTAAACATTTTCTCTTTTAACTTTATGATAACTACTTAGTAAATAGTAAGACTGACATCGATCAAAAAAACCACCCAAGTGCGACTCGGACTCGCGCACGAAGGGTTCCGTAACATTGCAAATAGCTATACAGACGAGTACTTTAAGCTTTTCAGAGTGAAATTACGTACATAGAATAGTCCACTTTAAAATGACACGAACCTACTCTACTACTTAGATAGTGAGTTTATATAGCACCTGAAAGGCACCAAATTGATAAAATGAAAAATTAAAATCGATTGATTACGTATAATATTCATATTTTCATTTCTGTTATACATATAATCATTTAAGTAGTCATTGGTACATAACACAGGTACATAATCATCTTCTGAATTTAAAAATGAAGAATTCTATGTATTTAAATTATTGTGGCAATCAAAATTTAGAAGGGTAATAGTCCAGGCAACGAAAAGGTATAGAGGGAAATGCTTAGAACACAATTTTTGACTTCGTTACTTTGTTAGGACTAGTTAGGAGGTAAACATATCAAAAGTCCCCGCCCGTAGCCCTTAAGCCGGGGGGAAGGGGGGGATTGAAGTTTCCATTTTTAGGTTTTTCGCATATATCTCGGAAACTATGCATCTTAGCGACATGAGACTTTGACAAAAGTGAAAGCTGATTAAATTTGCTACAAGTCTTATTCAGTCAAGTTTTTTGATATCTTGTATAGTTTTCGAGATATCCGCTCTCAAAAGTCTGTAATTATGAAAAAAAAAATTTGCTTCACATTTTTGCTCTATTTGACCGGATAACTCTTCAACAATGCCGGCCGTAGGGTTGTTGGTTCCACCAGTAAGCAGCATGCAGATTTCGGACAAGCCCGCCAAAACAAGGATGGAGCTGACATTGCCAAGCTCACCGATTGGTTTGAGAAATTTCCTCCCTTCTCAGAGACCAGAGACATTATCAAGTCACCAGAAATCCAGAAAGCAGCAGCGGTCTTTTCACACCCTTTCTCCACCACCGCTCAAGTACAAAAGGCAGGTGAAACCTGCATCTTAAGGTGGTATGGAGCTCCAGCAAAAGAGATTTCCCTCAATGCCTACAGGTACAAGTCATTCTTGAAATCAGTGGCCACCATCAAGCCTGATATCTTCTGTCTTCCTCCCACCGAGGGAGCAGTAAAACAGCATTCCCAGGAAGTGGTGGCAATTTTTTTTCCATAATTACAGACTTTCAAGAGCGGATATCTCGAAAACTATACAAGATATCAAAAAACTTGACTGAATAGGACTTGTAGCAAATTTAATCAGCTTTCACTTTTGTCAGTCTCATGTCGCTAGGATGCATAGTTTCCGAGATATATGCGAAAAACCTAAAAATGTAACCTTCAATCCCCCTCCTTCCCCCCGGCTTAAGGGCTACGGGCGGGGACTTTTGATATGTTTACCTTCTAACTAGTCCTAACAAAGTTACGAAGTCAAAAATTGTGTTCCAAGCATTTCCCTCTATACCTGTTTTTGAGCATTCGTTGCCTGGACTATAAGGTTCTCATTTCTTTTATACTCATTTATTAAGTAGTCATTGGTACATAAAACAGGTACACAATTTAATCATTTTCTGTATTAAACAAGTTAACAGTTTTTAATTCATTCAGTCATGTGATGAATGGTTACATAATAGCAATAATTTAAAGTTCACGCACCATTTTTGGCCATATCTCAAAAGTTGGTTTTGTCATTTAGCCGCATTTTAGCTTCGCGACGGCAGATTAGATCAAAACAAAGGAGTGCGAAACAATCACGTCTGTAAGTACAAGTTTTGGGCGCTAAAATCCAGCCGAATACTTTTGCCTAATATTCGGCTATTCGGTCAGGGGTCTCGCCGAATATTCGGTATACTATTCGTTGCAAGTCTAAAATTTTATTATTCACCCCTCAAAAGTAACCCGCTTATTGGGATTTATTTATTTACTCCATTCGTCCGTGTTTGACTTAGAAGACGTAGGTACACGTATGTACCTACGATATTTTTAAATTGATCGGTCCAGTAGATTCCGAGAAAATCGACTGTAACAAACAGACAAACAACCGTGTGATCCTTATAAGGGTTCCGTTTTTGACGATTAAGATACGGAACCCTAAAAAATATATACGGATTCTTTAGCGGTCCTCAGACTTAACGATGTCTATTATTGCTATGTAGTTATAATAAAGTTAAAGGAAAAAAGAACCCTTTTTAGGGATCCGTAGCCAATTGGCGAAAAACAAAACCCTTATAGATTCGTCATGTCTGTCTGTCCATTCGTATGTCACAGCCACTTTTTTCCGAAACTATAAGAACTATACGGTTGAAACTTGGTAAGTACATGTATTTTGAGAACCGCATTAAGAATTTCACACAAAAATTTAAAAAAAAAAACAAAAAAATTGGGGGGTTCCCCATACTTAGCACTGAAACTCACAATTATTTTTCATCAAACCCATACGTGTGGGGTATCTATGGATAGGTCTTGAAAAATGATATTGAGGTTTGTTATATCATTTTTTCTAAATTGAATAGTTTGCGCGAGAGACTTCCAAAGTGGTAAAATGTGTAACTTCTAAAATAAAGAGAACGATAAAACTAAAAAAAATATGATGTACATTACCATGCAAACTTCCACCGAAAATTGGTTTGAACGAGATCTAGTAAGTAGTTTTTTTTTTAAATAATTAATTAATTAAAAAAATACACTATTATTAAATCATCGATGAAAGTTACAACGATCTACAAGTACTATCATTTATGTTATTTGCTGCTACAGAACCCTTCATGGGCGAGTCCGACTCGCACTTGACCGCTATTTTTAGATAATTCTTGGGGTTTTGAAATTTCCAATTATTTTTATTAACTTTTAGATCAAAGGCCATTCGTTTTTCCAGCTGATTGTTCTCTCGGATTCGATTAGAGAACCAATTTTCTATATCGTCAACTGTATATACCTATGTACTGTTAAGATCAACTAATATACTTACTATATGAGTAAAAATCGTACCTAAAAGGAGATGACACACTGCAAGGTCCATGCTTAGAACTATGCACTCGAGGTAAAGTTGCCATATTTATCCACAATTTATATTACAAATATTTATGATACATCATAAGTTCATCACTTTTGTTGTTGTAACTATAGTAGGTAATAAAACGACACAATCAAAATAGCACGACTGACTTCGCTTTGAACTGTCGATGAACATTTAAAGATAACAAATACATCGTGTCTGTAATAAAAATAATACGCACTCACTAACAATAAATAATTAGTTACAATAAACAGTTGTGGTTGTAATAATGAACAACCAGAGCAGTTGTTGTTTTTAGTGATTAGCAAATGATCTCGTGTTAGTTTTTCACGAGTCACGCGAAGACTGGATTTAGGGAGACAGGCACGTTATTCAAGAACTCTGGAATAATCATTATAGTCTCAGTGGTACGGGAATAGAGCATATTCTTGTATATTCTTTTATTTGACAAAATGGGGCGCGATGACAGAGAAATAAAATGGTTAGAAAGAGATACGAATCGGAGACGGATGCTGTTCACTGCACAACATAGGTACAAAAATAGAAGCGCTACGCCATTAGGCACCGCTTTGCTCCAAATTTTCAATTTATACGATACTTCCTGTTAGTCAAAAATATCTATAAGAAGTCAAAATTTTATATCTTAATATAGGTATTACATGTTTTTGATTTAAACATTGATATATTCCTAATTTCGTAATTGAAGCTGTGACCTAATTAAAAAACATAAAGGACACCTAGGTATAAAACTATTTTCGGTGGACCATAAACTTAATAATGACATCATGAACATAGATAAGATCTTTATATAGTATTATTAATATAATCTATCGCTAGTAGCTTATCGCTATCGCTGGTAATACAATAATCTGAATTAGGTACCAGGGATACCGATTATTAACAAAATTAAGAAAAAAAATCTACTTGCCTCTCAGGTTCTGCCAGATAGTTATCCACTTATTTGTAACTCAATGAGAAATAATTGCTTTTTTAGTTAAGGAAAGTTTCTTTGAAAAACAACCAAAAACGTTGAAATTTGCAAGAAAAGTTCTTATAAAATTAATTTAGTTGTTACTTTGTTTCTATAAGGAATTAAACGAGATAAAAAAAAGCATAAAGTGAGCGACGCACATGGATGGTTCCATATGAAATAATGTTGTTTGTAAAAGAAACATTTGTTTCTTCTTCTTCACCTACTACAAATAAGGTATTCACGATATTATTCGTTATTTTAATTAATTTATAGAAAATCATATTATTTATAAAAGAAAGCGATAGAATGATGTACATCGTATCTGTGTTTATTTTTAAGTAAAATATTTAATTAATATTTGCAAAATTATGATCATCATTATCTACATAGTAGGCACTCAATTTTTTTAAATACCCAAGCATATTATTTTTGGAATAAATTTTATATCTGTACATACTAAGTATGTACGAGGTACACACAAGAAATATTTTATGTTTTATAAAATATATTCTTGCGTATACCTCTTTTGTACCCCACCCCACCTTTGTGTTAAACACGTATTATTCTCATCACCTCACGTATTATCTGTAAGTTTTAGAAGGATAGTTTTAACTTTAATGTGATGAGCGGCCGCTATGCGTGCATTTATATATTTTTCGATTATCTCGTAGATTAATTAAATTAGTATACAGGTCGTGGTGAGGGCGATGTGTGCCCAAGTGCAACAAGCATTGGAGTCACCTTGTAAAGAAAACTGTCTGAAATCTATGCAGTGAAATCAATTCTCTGAATGAGAATAATACATGGGATTTAGTTGAAAACCCCAAAGAAAAAAAGCACTACCCCTGCAAATGGGTGTATAAATTAAAAAGAAATCCTGATGGCTCTGTTGACAAGTTTTAAGCAAGAGTAGTTGTCAAAGGGTAATCTTAACAAGAAGGCGTCGATTAAGATAAGACGTTTAGTCATGTGTAGGGTTGCAACGATATATCGGAATATCGATAATATCGAGACCAAAATATCGATATTTATATCGATATTTAAAATTCACTGATATCGATATTTCGTAGACTAAATTTGAACACAATAATATCAATTAATTTACCTGCTATGACTATCTAAATTGAATAATATCGAATAACTATTGCTTTGAAATCGCAAGAGCTTATAGATGTATTAAAAACATCTTGAACCCCAAGAAATATACTAAACTGGTGTGGATTCTGGCATGATTCTCTTAACCTAAAATTAAATTTGACAACAGTGTATCCTTGTCATTCTCTACACAGAATGAAAAGGAGAGACTGATGTTAAATTTAGTTTTAAGTTTAGATAATCATGCCAGAATCGACACCAACGCATATAGGTATAATCGTATACCTAATGGTAACTCATGCACTTAAATAAAATCCTTGCCTCTCTTTCTAGATAATTGTCAACTGCTGATTAATTGAAATTGAATATCATTGTAATATAACACAAAATAAAATTAAGAATCTTATACAAATCGTAAATTTTTTAAGCTCGCCAAGTCAAGAAAGTAAGATAGGTATAGTAATTTTGGAAGCTTTGGGCTTACCCTATTCTGAAGCCATGGGCACGCCCCTGATGTGTAGGTTTTACTAATACATAACAATTGTTTTTCATATGATTATCTATTCTGAATTTGGCTGCGTGCAAACATTTTAAACAAAATAAATATCTTTGATTCGAAATTGCTTTTGATTTGATACTTCTTACAGCGCTATAAAAATATAGAAAATATCGTGTTGGAAATGTTGGAATGGCTGATATATCGGATCGAATATCAATATTTACCTGCCCACATTATAAATATCGATATTTCGGAAACCTTTGCTTCCTTAATTAAAGGTTTTTGCTTTGCAAACTTAATACAAAGCAAAAAAAAAGAAAAAATATCGATATATCGATAATATCGAGTTAAAATGGTGGATATATCGGATATCGATATTTTCCTGACTTCGATATAAATATCGATATTTCAAAAGACTTTGCATCCCTAGTCATGTGGCACGACTCAGCACAATACGGGCAATTATTGCTATTGCTGCAAAAGAAAACCTAAACTTACGCCAATTTGACGTGGCAACATCTAGAAACGTTTTATTTTAAAGAGATTTACGTTAAGCAACCTAAAGGTTTTGATGACGGAAGCAAACGAGTGTGTAAGCTTAATCGCAGCCTTTACGGAATAAAACAAGCCCCACGTTGTTGGAACTCCTGCATTGCTGAGTATTTGGTTAATAGTGGATTTTAACAAAGCAACACAGACCCTTGCCTATATACTAAAAGGAAACTACGTAACTACGTAAACGATGGACTTGTAGCATCTAATACGGCTGGAGATTGGAATCTTAAATTTATCATGGAACTTAAAACGAGATTCAAGATAACAACAAAAACTGCCTCTTACTTTTTAAGCATGGAAATTAAAGCTGGTGAAGGAAATATAAAACCTTGCCACCAAGCTTACACCAAGAAACTTCTTGACAAGTTTGGTATGTTGAATAGCAAACCAACGCCAATGGCTATTATCAAAATTTTTGAAGCAGAAAAAACAAGGGAAGACAGGATTTCCCCTACAGACAGGCAGTCGGAGAGGAGAATTCACTTACTTAGCCATAGGTATAAGGCCTGATAAAGCCTTTGCTGTGAGCAAAGCATCCAGAAATCTGGAAACACCCACTAGTAACAACTTCATGCTTCTGAAGCGAATTTTCCGTTACTTAAAAGGGACTGTGGACAAAGGACTCTTATTTTGGTGTTCAAAAGAGTCACCAAAACAACTATTATGTTACTCTGACTGATTTTGCTGGACACTCACCAACTGATAGATCAACATTGGAATGGTGTGCATATTATCAGGAGCTGCTTTTAGCTGGAGAAGTCAACGATAGACAATTTTGCCCCTTTTGTCTACAGAGGCAAAAATCATAGCAGCCAGTGAGACTGCTCAAGAAATTGTATGGCTGAACAGCCTACTGAAAAGTACTGATAGCAATATGGACAAACCAATACTCTATTAGGACAATGAAGTCAGCTGTAAAACTTTCCTATAATCCCAAATGCGAGTGCACAGACAAACCAAACACATCAAGCTGAAGCATCTGTTCTTGTGTTAACAACAGAGAACTGATCATCAAGCAAATTCCATCAGAACTGCAGTTGGCTGATATACTTACGAAACCTCTCTTTGCCCCTTGACTGAAAAACCTCAGTGAAAGAATAGGATTAAAGAAATAATTCTTTAAAAAAGTCCTGAGGATGTAAAGAGATAGCAAGGATGAGAATGAAAAGAGAAGTAAAGAGATACATCTCATAGATAAGACTAGACCATGAACTGTGGTCATAGCAACCTTTGTCAACCTTTATTTGTTCACTGTCAAATGTGACTCAAAATTTTGCTCGCATTGTATTTCTTACTAACAAAATATTATTAAAAATATTTTCATTCTGTTTATACCAAGTGTATTTTCTATCTTCCTTGATATGACAATGATTCACAGTATAAAAACTTAATAAAAGACAATATGTTTAAATAAACTTTGGCAGGTTTATCATTGTGGCATAAGAAAACAATTGTTTTACTGATGCAGATGAAAGGCAATGGTGTATTGTAATTAGGCTTTTCTTGGACACTTTTATTTACTAAATTCCAGGTGCTAATGAAATAAATACAATGTGCATCAGCCTGTCTTATCACTTACAAATAATATGTTTTTTTTTATATGAATTTTATATAAAATAATGAATAAAATCATGTATAATTTATTCAAAAGCTTATACAGGGCGTCCCACGGCTACCTCACATGGAGGGAAAGTATATTAAATATTGAAGATAGGATATTTTACTGAAAGAAGACATCGTTTTATTTTTGATAATAATTAGAACTGCATTCACAGATTTTTTAAAATAGCCTGCTACAACTGGGAATCAAACTCGTGAAATTTCAAAAAAAATAAACAACATTTTTAAGATAACCATCGAAAATGTTACACATAAGAATTATTTTTTGCTACATAACATTGCATTTTAAATGAAAGTAAAGTAATTAAATTTTACATTTTATTTAACACAAACTAATATAAAATCTGATACGCCTCAAAGTAAATTAAAATGTTGAGTTCATCATCGTTGACGTTTATCATTCGTTGCTGTAGTTTCTGTAAGCGCATATCAAAATGTCCTAAATTTCTTAAAGTATCCGCTAACCCTTTAAACACATATCAAGAAGTTACGTCTCTATCT